TGGATGTCATAAAGTAATAGCTAATATACTCTTATATGTTTTCTGTTTAAACATCAGTCATCATATTCAATCATGTTTTTGAAATAATATCAATCCAGCAAATTTAAAGTCAATCTTGTAAACACCTTTGGATGGTTTGTTATATAAAAAATTGGGGTCCAATTTTTGTTTTGCGCGGGGGATGTTATATATATAGCATATATTATTGTGAACCATCCAATTGTGTGATTAATTAATATTACATAAGTACTATAGTTACATTTGGATGTTTTTGGTGTAAGAGAAGTAACTCCAATTAGGATTATATCATTTGCCAATTGTAACATCAGGCATGTTCTCCCTTGAAGGGAACTCTTTAGTTTGGAAGGGAATAAAAGTGAAGATCACGAAAAGGAACGGTTGTGTGTTGTTAATATTCTGCCAAGCGAGTCCCCACTAGAGACAGTTAACGCAACCCGTTACATACGCATTATAAAGTGTTTCCTAATCTTGCATATATGCCATTTCTGGGACAAGCATTTTCTGTTCTTTTCTTTATATCATATTTAGCAAGTACAACATCATGGATATTGGATTTCCCCATGTTAAACATTAACAAACTGAATTATGTAAATTAATTTCTTAACAGGTTTAAGAAATAATCAAATATGTACCTGTACTAGTTAAGGTTGTAGTTTTGGAGCGGAGTATACAAGTATATTAAGTTTTGCAGTTATAAATTGGAAACTGTTTTTCATCTCAGGGTAACAGTGACCTTGACCTTTGAACTACTGACCTCAAATTATTTGGAGTCATCTACTGGTCATGACCAACCAGCATACAAAGTATGAGGTTCCTGTGCCTAAATGTTTTTTTAGTTTGTGAGTGTTAACCATTTTTCAACTCAAGGTCAACGTGACCATGACTTTCTGACCTCAAAATCAATATGGGTCATCTTCTGGTCATGACCAACCTGCATACCAAGTTGTTTGAAGTTACTGGGCCTAAGCGTTCTTCAGTTATTGAGCGGAAACCAAGTGTGACAGATGGACATGGCAAAACAATATGTCTCCCCATGAATGGGAAAGACTTAAAAATACACTCAGGAGTTCGGATGGGTACTGATACTAATTAAATCAATAGTGCATTAGCATAAGTGAATCGATAATATTATACATGTATGTAGGTAGTGCTGCAAATAATGTTAGAATAAACATTAGATTAATGCTAATATCAGATAAACAAGAGGGCCCTGATCACAGGTAAAAGACACAACATATCCTATATATGCCTATATTCTAATATGTAATTAGTAAAGGTAAATAGCGAAATGCTAAATCAAGTGCAAGAAAACGACGAAAAAAATAAAAATCGTGAGCCCGGCGGTCAAAACTGTGTTTAGATCTCCTCACAAATCCCCATTTTACCATTTAAAACAATCCGTTTGAAAATTGATCGACTTACCTCCAAAATATGACATTTGAAAGTTGGAGAAATCGCCTATTCAGTTAGCGAAACATTTGGGACGTCCAGAACTTTTGTTGAAAAACGGCTATTTTTAACGGGATATCAACGATTTTCAGGGGTAACCATCCTTGACGTGTTTCCAAATTGATATTCCCATTT